TGGGAATTGCTGAGAGCATAGAGAACAAAAAGGAGTTTTGAAGGAAGGCAAAGCTAATAGGAAACTTTTGTCTGAAAAAGTCTCAGAGGGACTTACTAACAATTGTTAATATTTGAAGCAACCCTCCAGAGGCCGTTGAGAGAAAGCAAGGTATTCCAGACCTCAGCAAGGTAAATGTCAAGGTAAATGTGTGCTTAACTCTGTGAGGTGGTTGGCCAGACTTGCAAACCACAGTGTGAGGAAAAGACTTGCCTTCTAGGCAAAGATCAAGGGTCAATAAGACCAAAGTCTTGAAATCCAGGTCTGTTTCTGGAGTGGAACATACATAAACCCTTTTGAAATGTTGCTTAAATAACACCAGAGGAGTTAATCAGCTGGATTGTGTCACCTCCCAGGATAGCCTCTTACGAAGAATCAGGAGATGGACCAATTGTACAACAGAAAGATGTGTATCCAGCTGGGGCAATGTCTCTTTTTAAAAATAATTTTAATGTGGATGCTTGCAAAGTGTAAATTTATCCTTTTCCCCATTAAGACAGTCAGGCTGTAACTTTTGCCTTGCTTAGTTGTCCATATCCTGCTGACAGTCCTTCCAGTCTTTCCAAATAGGAAAGCCATTTTGAGTCAGTTAATGATTAGCCTGCCTGTGAACTTTAATTTAAAAACAGCAGCCACAATTAATGGAGCCCACAGTGTTTTCTGCAGGCTGCAAAGGACAGTAGTGGGTAGAGTGGTGGCTTGTTGAGCCTGCTAAATAGAGATGGCCACTTGCCAGCTCTCAAAGAGAAGAGATGATGGATGAGAGATGGGGAAGGAAACAATCTCATACAAACAAGATCCCCTTAGGAACAGGCAGCACAAGCTGCCAGTGTGCATGAAATGCTTGCAGGGGATTTTCCTTCATTTGAAAACAGGCCATTTCAGCTGCAGGTGAGGTGCTTTCCTTTCTTTATGTCTCCTGTGGAAGCAGATTTTTTAACGTCAGATGAGTGGAAGCCCCATTCAGGGTCTGTGGCATTCATGTTCCCACACCAAAAGCAAATCTGCCTGTTACCTGTACTTTATGAAAGCTCTGTACCTGGGCAAGGCTCAGGTTCAGCAGGCCTTGCTCAGACAAGGCATCCAAAATATTTTTCTGTTAGCTTCTGCAATAATAGTGCTAGATGAAATGGTTCTCATGCAGAATGCCTTGCTTTGAGAGAGACCTATGAGAAAAAAAACACATAAAGGCAGCAAGAACAGCTCAGAATCACGTGAAAACCAGGGATGTCGAATTAGAGCCCAAGTCTCCTTGCTCTCTTTCCCGGTCTGACCAATAAATTCCCCTCTTGCTCCTCTTATAATGAAACAGCTGGTGAGCTAGGGATAGCGGGAAGGGCACTCTTCAGCCTTCACACTTGTACTGATTGACCCCTAATACCCCTGAAGTTAACAGAGTTAAACCAATGTGAGACCAGGTCATAGTCAGAATAAGCCCAAACTCAGCTAACGCTTTGCTGGTAAAAAGAGAAGGGCATGCTCACATTCATCACATGAAGGTACAAATGGAAATAATAACGGTCCTTTAATTGGTCAGGTCCCTGCAAAAGCTTACAAAATATTGCTGTTGTCATAGAAGCTGAAAAGGAACAGGAGACTTTAAATTATTTACAACAGCTTATGGTCTGTTATGCTCCTTAGTTTTGTTAGCAGAGCTCACCTACGCGGTAAACAAGGGGTGATGAGACCAAGGAAAAGGTCTTCAGTTTTAAAGATCTCCATCCTTATTAGTAATGGTGAGTGGAGGTCACCATGCAGTAAGATCCAGGTACGTGCTGGAATGGTGGGATCATGGAGTTGAAGCTGTCAGCACATCAGTTCCAACCTGAGTGTGTTTGTGCGTCTTGGACAAGTCAGCGGCAGACAGCCAGAGCGCTCTTTGGTGATTTGAGGGCTGTTAAGTGGAGTCACCCTGGCGATAAAAACAAATGCAAGGACCTGCTGCTCCTCCTCTTCCAGAGCACAGAAATGAGACAGGAGCAGGATTACTTCCAGCAGCTGCTGACTGTGGCTGCTGTCACGAGGATAATCATAGCTGATGCTCCAGGGCAAAGCCAGTTACAGCGATCTCTGATGCGTAAGCACTGTGAAGTAGCAGAGGTGTTAATGTTTACACAGTCTCAGGAGACTACCTGCGGCCTTACACACCAAGGTAGCTACATCTGTGACCTGTCGAAGTTTTCAGCCCTTTTATGTCTTCCTTCTGAGGAAACTGGTATTACTTGCTGGGAGAGGTGGGATATAGGATTAGGGAAACTAGTCCTTTGATGCAGTTTGGCAAACTTCCTGATTCTGGAAAAGGCTAAGCATTAGACCCTGAAATAATTTCAGACTTGGGCCTTGTACAGACTATTCAGGGTTTTGGAGCATTTTTCTTTAATGATGTGATGTATTTACATAGTATGAACATTTTTTGAAACAGAATAAGGCTACATTACGACAAGTGATAAAGGCATGAAAGCAACTTTTCCTCACATTGAGGTCAGAATCCTATTGATCATTTCTCATCTAGGGAGTCTGGGAGCTCGTGGCTCTCAGCTCTACTGGGAGTAGTGTGTAGTTATGAGCTTCTGGTGATTTGCATTGTCCCTAAAGGCCCTAGACCCCAATGCGAAAACTTAAATCAAAAGAATATTTTTCTCCATTTTATGTTTGCGTTTGTGTCTGTGTTTCAGTAGTGAGGATTTGCTCAGGCCCTGCAGAATCAGACTCTTTAATCCGTTGCCCTCATGTTAACTTTTGACGCCATGCCCTGATTGGGCTGCTGCCAGGAGTAGCCTTTCTGTAATCCCAGCTGCAATCATTGTTTGTGCCACCCCTTCTCCCTGGGGGCGAATGGAAGGGAGCAACAAGGCACGTAAGTGCACTGTGTGAAGAAACAGATGCTGTTTTGCTCCTGTGCAGGTCCCTAGTGTCTGCTTTGGATTCCATTGTGTTTAAATACAAATACAATAGGTAATAACTTTGTTCCATGCATTGTCCTCCTGAAGGGACAACATGAAGGGATTGGCTGGGTGGGGAGTTAATTCCATCCTTTTCTGAGCTGATTGATTGCTGCAATCTGTTCTGTCTTCTAAGTGCTGGGTAACTCTCCAGAGGTAGAAACCTCTCACTTAAAAGTAATAACACTTTAAACCTTGGTATGCTTGTACTTCCATCTCAGGGCAGCCTCCGTTCCCTTGGTGGTAGTGCTGAAGGAGCAAAGCTGATAGTTGGACTTCAGTCTGTAGAAGGTGGTGTAGCCTCCCCTGCATTCAACAACAAATTTGCTAAATAATTGTTAAAGCTCTGCCTGGCCTTGTAGCTAGTGCCCCTGTGGGTACTACCCAAGTATGGGTGAGCTCTGCTGCTCATGTTACAGCAGTAAACCTATCCAGGTATGTTTGGTGTGAGTGGCAAGGTTTGGGAGTGGTGGTGGGGCTTCAGCAGTGGCTTCTGTGAGAAGCTTCTCCTAGTGTCCAACAAAGCCCAAGCCAGGCTCCAAGGTGCACCCACCACTAGGCAAGGCTGAGCCCATCAGCCCAGGTGGGAGCACCTACGGGACAATAGATTTAAGAAGCAGGGGAGAAAAATAGCAGCTGGGACATAGGAGTAAGAATATGGGAGTGCAACAGCTCTGCAGATCCCAAGGTCAATGCAGAAGGAGGGGGAGGAGGTGCTCCAGGCACCAGAGATTCCCCAGCAGCCCATGGGGAAGGCCATGGTGAGGCAGCTGTGCCCCTGCAGCCCATGGAGGTCCACAGTGGAGCTGATATCCACCTGCAGCCCCTGAGGGACCATACACAAGAGCAGTTGATGCCCAAAGGAGGCTGCGACCCTGTGAGAAGCCCACGCTGGAGCAGGCTCCTGGCAGGACCTGTGGCCTCATGGAGAGAGGAGCCCACACTGGAGCAGGTTTGATGGCAGGCCTTGTGACCACTGGGGGCAACCACGCTGGAGCAGTCTGTTCCTTAAGGACTGCACTCTGTGGAAGGGACACATGCTGGAGCAGTTAATGAAGAACTGTAGCCCGTGGGAAGGATTCACATTGGAGAAGTTCACAGAGGACTGTCTTTCATGGGACAAACCCCATGTTGGAGCAGGGCAAGTGTGAGGAGCCACCCTCTGAGGAGGAAGGAGCTGCAGAAACAACATGTGGTGAACTGACAGCAACCCCATTCCCCATTCCTCTATGTTGCTGGATGGGAGGAGGTAGAGAATTCAGAGTAAAGTAGAGCCCAAGAAGAAGAAAGGGGTGGGAGGAAGGTATTTTTTAATTTTATTTCTCATTATCTTCCTGTGATTTGATTAGTAATAAACTATTTTACCCAAGTTAAGTCTGTTTTGCCCATGACAATAACTGCTGAATGATCTCTCCCTGTCCTTATCTCAGCTCACAAGGCTGTCTCCCCTGTCTAGTTGAAGAGTGACAAAGCAGCTTTGGTGAGCTCTTGGTAGACACTAGGGTCAACCCACCACACAGGTTGCCTATCCTGCCTCCTCTCTAAGGATCTCCTGGCTAGAATGAACCTCCCAGCAATAGTTTGGCTCTATGCATTGATTTTTCACATGTAGGATTGCTGCAAGGTTGTGTCCTCCCATAAGGGTACAGACAGGCAAGCCCTAGCCCCAGCTCTTCTCTGTGGGCAGGAGAAGGCTGTCCCAGCCTAGCCTGGAGGGAGAAAAGTACCCTTGTAACCTGAGTTAAGGTGTAAGAACCGTGACTCATTTTAATTACACAGTGAGTGGAAATTAAGGGGACGATGCCTCTTCACCCTCTGTCTCACCCGCTGCACAGGTTGGCTGCTGTGGGTGAGTTTTCTCAAGGTGTCCAGCACTAATTAGTTCCAAGTGGCTAACGCAGTAGCAATTTTAGGTGAACAACAGACTGAGGGGTTTGTGGGGCAGAATGTTCTCGGCTGAGGTTGTTGATGATGGCACTGTTCTTTTTCTCTCCTTCCCTACCCTCAACCCACTCCCAGGGAAGAACACACAGAGCACTATGTCACTGGCATCCTGGTTCAGGTGGAATGAGCCCCCAAGCCGCATTTCCCAGAGGAGCCCCACAGAAATGGTGGTGGAAACGCTAATGATGGAGCTGAGCTGGCAGATCAAGCAGGCCGAGAAGCAGCAGCGAGAGCGGGAGAATGAATATCGCAAGATCAAGACTGGGGTGGACTACGGCTGGCTGGTCAGCTATCCAAAGCACAGCTACGATATCAGCCCAGGAGAGCGGCTGCAGCTGGAGGATATGTGTACCAAAATACATCCTTCCTACTGTGGGCCTGTCATAGTCAGGTACAGTGAAAGATGTGATGGCACAGACCTTTTCTTTCCCCTTTTCCTCCATATGATATGCAAAGAAGGAGTGAGAGTTGCCAGGACCAACAGAATCAAAACTTGACATCCTGCATCATAAGCCCTGTTGGGACAGTGTCTTTGTGGAAGAAGGGAAATCTAATGTTTAAAGTCAGTTTAACATGACATTATTTCCTGCAAGCTACGAAGTGCCATCTCCCCCTGAGACTGGCTTGAATACTTTAAGCTCCTGAACAGCCAGAGCAGCTTTATCTTGCCCGATGAACAGTCACCATTTCACTACTGTGATGGCTTTTGCTCCAGACTTTAGAATCTTAGAGAAATTGAGGTTGAAAGAGGCCTCTGGAGGTATGTACTTTGACCTCCTACTTGGAGTAGGGCCAACTTCAAAGTTAGATCAGGTTGCTGAGGGCCTTGTCCTGTCCACTGATTAACATCTCCAAGGGTGGAGGTTCCACTGTCTCTGAATAACTCCTGTGGTGTTTATCCACTCTCACTGGAGCCTTCATTCTTTGATTTAAGCTGTCCAGCAGGTCTATTGAGGCACTTGTCCTCAGTGTCCAAATTAGCCAAAAGGTGCTATATTTTTTTCCAGCCTGTGAGCCAGGTATTCCCAGAGAAAGGAGGGACTTGTGTCTCCCTCCTCTGCTCCCTCCACACCCTTGACATGGAGTGGGATGCAAGTGGGGCATGCAGTTGGGTTGAACAACTAAGTGGTGCTTCTGACTTCTGCAGTGTGGACTTAGACACAGCCTCGTGGACTTGCTGTTGAGCCTTTCAAGTGCTAGACATGGGACTGCTGCTTGCCAGCTGAGTGACCTTTTGTGGAAATGCCTTTAGAAACTGAACTAAGTCTGCCTTGGCATCCAAACTGGAAGGAAGAGGTGTGACTCTTTTCCTTTTGAGGTGGCTGCTGTAAGTTAAACCCTTGCTTTTAGCACAGTGCAAGTGAAGAATAGTGACTCTGAAGCCCACCTTAGCCAAAACAAAGTTCTGAAATGGGCCTTTATAATCAAATTTCCCTGTTCCAACATGTTCTTCAGTTGGGATTAGAAGACAGTCCTTGTAGGGGGTCTCAGCACTCTGTAGTCCCTCACTGCATATGCTGACACCTGTTTTCCCTTGAAAAAAGGAATCTACGGTGCTTGAACTACAACTGTAAAAGCACTGAAGTAGCCAGGAATGGATGCCAAAGCTACCTCTCTAGCCTTTATCTTCCCAGGGGCTGAACCTTAGAAGCAAGCTTGGCACAGGCCTTGGACTCTTGAAAGGACAGCCATGGTGTCAGAATCAGAGATCATTCGGTGGCCAAGTTCTCTCCACTGAAAGTTTGCTGGGCAGCACCTCCCTTGTATTTGTATTTGTATAACTCCAAGCTATGCTGTAAACAAGCCACTTCAAATCCCTTGGGGTTCAGAGTTATTTTCACCATCCCGAGGGTCACTGAGCAGGGACTGTCTGGCAAACAGGTTATTTCCATGAGAGCAAGCATCAGCTGCTGGAGCTGGGAGGCCCAAGGTTCATCATCTCCTTCGGAAAAGCATTGAGCTGAGCCACATACAACTTGCTGCTGCTCTGCTATTTTTTAATTTTTAATTTTTATTTTAACTGAAACAGATCACGTAAGATGTGTGATTTCAGTGCAGCTTTTAGTGTTGTTCCCTGTTCAGGATGCAGCATATTGCTGGCAGTAGATAAACATACTCAGCAATGCTGGTGGGCTCTATGTGGGCATGGTCGAAATAGGCTAAAATCATCCTCTTAAAACTCTTACAAATTGCTATTGTAGACTATCATAAGTTGTATTACAGTATGATTCCAGAAGTGGCATGTTTTTGCTCCATACTACAGAATTTACATGGTTAGCAGAGCCACATAAAAAAAATGAGGCCTGCATTACTTTAGTTTGTTCAATTCCGTGTTTGAGAAGGGAAAATCACAGCCAAAAAAAGGGTGGAACTGGATTGAGTCAAAGGTCTGAATGGTCTGATGTGCAGCCTGTATGTGAGAGAGTGGCCAGTAGCATCACTGTCAGGAAAAGAGCAAAGAACAAGGTAAGCAAATCCAATAGTACAGGCATTATTTATAAGCATCCAACTTATTGTGCCTTGTAACTGGCAGACCTTTGGAGCCAGAAGTGGACTTCTTGTCCATAATTGGCTGATGTAGCTTTTTCTTTCAGTGCTTTGTTTAGGTTGTTGGGGTTTTTCTCTTTTTGAACACTCGTAAACTTTTAGCATTTGTGGCACCCTGTGGAAGAGTTCCACTCCCGAACTGCAACTCTGCTGCAAAAAACTGTGTTTTGCTTGTCTTAAACTAGTGTGTCCTAGTTTTACTCAATAATCCTTTCATCTTATGTTGGAAATGTAAACAGTTGACCCCTCTTCTTTTATAACCTTCTAACCAAGAGCTCTGTGATTCCAAGAAATTCTCATTACTGACATGAAAACAAAAAGAACGGGGCTTGCCATGTTAGGAGCTGAAAATGTACAGGAGAAAGAAGGAGCATGCAATTTAATTGAAAGGCAGCCAAAATTGGACAAATTCTCTTCTCAGAAAGTGAGATAAGATGGAGATTTTAGTAACTTCCTCAAAATTCCACACGATGAGTATAACAGGAATTCAACTGAAACCTTTACATTTCCAGTGGAGTACTTTAATAACAAGATCATTGCACCGCTGATGTTTTCTCTTGAATACTCTGTGACTTCCTAGCACGCAGCAACTTCTAGAGAAAAATCTTCCACAAAACCCCTCCATCATCTATGAGCTTGCATTTGGAAATTGAAATGCAGAGTGTGTACCCTACTGAAGCCCTTGGTTCTGACTGAAATAGTAAGCTTGATCCTTTCCCTTCCCTTTTAGACATTTTAAGAGCTGAAGTCCTTTTTGATGTACTTGGCAAACACGTAATACTTAAATAACACAAGTAGCAGGCAATTTGCAAGACTGCAGAGTTTGCTTTGTTTGTGTCATGCAAGGTCTCCTTCTTTGCGAGACTCTGAGCTCAGAGCCAAAGCTAGAAAAAAACATTTTTGTATGAATTGTCAGACATGTCACTTCATTCTCCAAAGGTCTAAATGATTATCCAAATTGTCCTTTTCTGTGGCTACAGTCTCATCTACTGAGAGGTAAAGTTTCTATAACTTTGTTTCTTTAAATGTAGAGGAGGCTGGAAAGGAGCACTTCACAAATAAGAGTTTTTTTTCATATCCAGTTTGCTAATTTTGTATTTCAGGTCAATAGAAACCTCTCTTTTTGAGTCTGTTGGAATTCTGGAGGGATTCAAATGCACTGCAAATACCATCAGATATCTGGAGACTCTGATTCACCTCATGCTAATAAAGCTATTGCATTCAAGAGTAACTTAGCTTTAGGTTACTGGGTTGGAGATCACTGACTATTTAAAATTAAATCCTGGAGCCATTTGAAGGAAATGACAGTGAGGCCTTTGGCACCCGACTGTCATGGTTAAACTGAACAAGTAAACTAGCAGATTACCAATACAAAATGCTAGATTTTGCCATCTTTACTCAGAGCTTTAGCCCTAATCAGAGTTAGTGAAGGTCTCTCCAATTTCTTTCAGTTTCAGCAAAAGTGAAACAGTGGGGTTTTGTCCTTCTCTGCCCAGAGGGAAACAAAAAAACCCTGCTAATGTGGAAACGTAAACCTGCATTTTGGTGACCCAGGTTGTTATTCATACCACAGGCTAAGGACTATAATTTTCAAAGGTTTGTGTATAGGTGAAGCAGCTTTCCTAGTACGCTTGAAGACAAATGACTAAAATCAGAAATGGATTTATTTACAATTATGAGCTTAAGTTTGAGGTGATGTAAGTGTTGCAATTAGTGTGAATGCCATAATTCTTTAGGAGTCAAGGAGCCTTCTCTAGCAAAGCTGTTCACAGTGTTACACTATAACCAGGATTCCTGTTCAAAATATAGATTCAGGAGTCAGCAGCTAATTATTAGCACTAAGCACCCCACGTTTTCTTTGAATTACTAAATCCACTTAGAGCTCCCAGTTCAGACAGGCACTCAGGAATACACTGAACTATAAGCATATTGTTTAAGTCCATGGACTTCCACTGGATTTAACAGGGTTTTAAAGTTCAGGCTGTACTTAGGCAACCCTCTGTACTGGGGACCTACAGAATAACATAGGCAGGTGACAGTGCTTTAAAAGAGCAGTGCCAGTACGAGCCAAGCGCAGACAGATCCTTAAAATCTTAAAGGAAATGGAAGGGTCACACTTTGAAAAGCAAATTTGTTTGAATTGTGATTAAAACGTTGCCTGGACTTGGAAATGTGCTCATCCCTATGTATGCCTGTAGATCTGCCCCGGGCTTCTGTGCTGGTTCAAGGTGAGTTTTGTTGACAGTCATGTGCGTGACTTGCATGATGTCTTACAGGCTACCAGCACTCTCATAGCTTGTGTCACAAGGCAGATAGATAGGTAATGCTTTTATGAGGAATAAGGGAAACCCTGTTGAGGCATTTCTAGACATGGTTGTGCAGTTGCCTAGCTTGAAACTGTTCCATGCAAAAGCATAAGGGTGTTAACCTGTGCTAGAAGATAGGTGAGCACTGTGCAATTTTGTGTGCTAAATTTCACTGAGCAGCTTAGAGTGGAGTTTGTTTCCCAAGATGAAAGCACATATCCCTTGATTCCAGCGGTTTTGCTGGTTTTATGTGTTGTGTGTTCTGTGCAGACAGCAGACCGATGGATATTCCAGCACATCAGCTGGCTTTCATTGATAAGCGGGTAAGATGGCTTTGGTTCCGTGTAGGTGCCTGCAGCAAACATCATCTGTCCTATGATACACAGACTGGTTTAGCTACACCTCAGCCCTCACAGCCTGTCCATCTTTTCTGCTGAGAGATATTTGTGGTGTGCACACATTTTGGACTTCCTACTTGGGCTGTCCCTTACACAGATGTGCTGGTACTGAAGTTAAGTGAGCATTAATAAAGGGGTAAAGTTAGTTCATCCTATTAGGGGACAGAAAAGGCTCCCCTTTCCCTTCTCCAGCGGAATGTGAGTGGCTTTTCATTGGGGGACTAGTAGACAACCTTTTGGATTGTTTTCTCTTTGATTCTTAGACCTGCTCAAATCCCTGTGAAATAGTTTCAGTGTTGGTCCTGAAAAGTCAGAGGTAAATCTTAACCGCAGAGTTCACAAAACTATTCTTGCCTGTGCAAACAGGCAGATAGCTGTGAAGGTAGAAAGTTACTCTGATTCTAGAAACCTATTACAGCTAAATTGGTTGGGAGTGTTATTAGCAACAATAATGCATGAGCATCAGAGCTCTGTGCTCAAGGGGTGAATTTTTTTTTTTTATTTTTTTTTTAAAAATTTGCTGTCAAACCACCCTTTTTCTCTCCTGTTCCCAGAGCCAGTCACTGATATAGTAATAGCCTGACACATGCTGCTATCTGCTCAGGAGCCACAATTCAGCACAGCCTCAAAAACCGAAGGCAGTGATGAGGCCTTTTGGGTGCACAATTGTCAGTAGAAAAAAAAGAGGATGTACTGATATATACAGATATAAAATATGACAGCACCTCTCTTTAAAATACAAGTGGAGATAAAATGATGGAATGACTCATTTAGTTCACCTCTGCAATAAAAATCCTTTGAAGGTGGCTTTCCCTGGTATAACAATAATAATGTTGTGAAGACTTGGGTTTCCATGCCTTCCATCTGCCTATACTTCAAACAGGATAAAAGGAAAATATATATTTATTGGGAAAAATGCATTTTAGGCTCTTTGATAACACAACTGAGGTGCCTCCTCAAAAGGCAGAGAGGATGTTAGCAATGTGCAGCAAATCCCTGTTACTGCTGTTGTGTGCTTACCCTCAGCAAGGTCTAGTCTCTTGCTCTTATAAGCTCTATTCGGCATCACTGTGTAATTACTTATGTACCACTATGAACTACAGTGCCCCAGAGGCTTTTTGCACCCAAATGTTCAAAGTTTACAAGTTTTTGGTGATGGGAGGGAGATTAACAATTCATCCAAAGCGACCGAAATAGTTAAGGGGCATTTTGGTGACTTTGGTAGGTTTTGTGTCAAACTGCTCTAGCTTAATGCTGAAAGGGGCTGGTGACTTCTGCAGACACTGAGTTCCCTCAGCAAGCAATACTGACTGGTGTCTCCACAGCTGGACATGTAGCTGCCAGTACTTGTTGGGAGAGAAAGGCACTGAACTATCTGAGATATAGCACGATGTCAACGTGTATGTCCAGTAATAAGCCTCTGCAGTAAGTCAAAATACATAAATACACAAAAAGTCTTTTTGGTTTCTCTCTGTCTTTCTTTCTGTCCTTATTATCTTGGGTACCCTTAGGCACACTATTAAAAAGTGCAATGCCATATGCACTAAACTGCCTGTTACATTCCTAAGCCTTAGCAAAAAGCCAAGAGGCAATATCTTATGCTATCTACTTTTGCTGTATTAGGCCTATTTAAATACAGTCCTACTGTTTTCCATCCTTGTTAAGTTCTGTTGCAGAAAAATACCGAAATGCTTACAGATCTTATAAACTTTAGCTTCCATGAAGTACAAATACCTGGATTCTAAAGAAGTACTAGTTCAGCTTTCTGTCTGCTTGTAGGTGCATTTTTTATACAAGCGAATATTTATTAGAAGATTACCCATATTACCCTCTATCATAAATGTATGAATGAACAATTAGAATATCTACATGACTGCTGTGTGAGCCTAGGGAGTGGATCCCTCACTCTCCAGGCTTGGGACCAAGTCACCCAACTAAATGTCAGAAATGGCATGTTCTCTTCTTTGCCCGGCCAGTGGCCCACTCAGTGACTTCATGAAAACTGCATCTCATCTTCCTCACCTGCAAAATAAACAGTGGTGATTTTTCACTTCCTTGGTATTAAGCTAGCTTAGTAAATGTCAAAAAAGGCACTGAAGTAATTCACAGTGCCTAATGAACTGAGCCAGTTCATTATCTTACAGAAATCCATTGGAAGATGAAACATCACTCTACTGAAAGTTAAATATTGAAAGACTACCGAACAAAGAAGAGTTTTACTGGATTTTTGTTTGTCTAGTGGCCATTGGGTAACGCTATGGGGAACAAGAATTGGAAAAAGGGGAAGTCTAGTGAGCCTTTCCCTGGTCTACCCTCAGCTTCTGGTAAGCTGCAGTTAAAGGGCTATTTAAGCAAGGATTTGCGTTTGGACAGCCATGTTTAATCAGCACTGATGGGGACGTTTTCCATAAAGTTGTCCAATCATTTTGTTTCTTAGCTATTGATAGCACTGAGTTCTGGTTTAATAGGTGTTGTGTGAAAGAGCACTTCCTTCTGTTTCAAACTTGCCTTCTAGTTTTGTTTAGTTCTCCCAAGTATTTCTTGTGCTTATAAGAAATAGTGATTAATTGCTTCCTTATATTTCATGGCTTGCTTGTGATTTTAGAGGCCTTGAGCATATCTTCATGGCCCCTCCCTGTTGTTGTTCCCTTCAGTCCAGGGAGTTCCATTTAGCAGGAAAGTGCAAGTTCCAAGCTTAGCACAGGGATTTGGCAGCAATCCGTAATTTGATGTTTTTAATCAAAGCTGTGCCTTGACTGCTCTTTCAGATTCCGGCAAGTTGTTGCTGAATATGAACCAGAAGCACAGGAAGTATCCCGGCTCTTCCGGTCTGTCCTGCAGGAAGCTGCTGACAAGATCAAAGAGGAGGAAGAGGCCAAGAAGCTTGCCAGGCAATGGAACACAAAGAACAGAACCAGTCTCTCCTTAGCAACGTTTAAATCTCGGTCCAGGATTTCCCCGTTCATCAGTGATATCAAGACCATCTCCGAGGATGTGGAACGGGGCACTCAGCCCACCAGAAGGGTTTGGAGCATGCCAGAATTTAGGAGCACCAAGGATTTCTGACTCCATACTGAATAAGGTTTTTAGACAGTGATCTTCCAAAATCCCAGCTAACCCTTTTTTAGCTCTACTGTTTCTTCTTTCTTCCAGCTCTCTCTTCCTGCCTATCTCTGTCTTGGAAGCTGTGTCCATAGTAACTGCGGCTGATGCCTGCAGTGGATGATACAATTTATTACCAAACATGGTAGCCTTTCCTTTAATTTAGTAGCTATTGAGTAACCTTAAGGGCAAGGCTCACTTACTATCTCATTTTTATTACTGCTCTTTTGTGGAAAATGAATTAGTTTTGCTATGTCTGTCTTTCCCTTTCCCCTCCAGCCTGGATTTAGTTATCTATAGAAACTTTTGGCTCAAGCTACTGAGAGCTGTTGCCTGGACCAATCTTGCTGAAAGCAAGACAGCCACTTAAATGAGTGAGGTTTGCAGGATCAGGCTTGTGAGGTAAAGCTAGTATCTGATTTGGAACTGAACTTCCTTTTCCAACTAATAGCCTTCCTCAGTGCTACAACAAACTTCACAGGTAACCTCAGCACTGCTCTTGATCCACTTTTTGCTGACAGTTCACAATCCAACCTGTGCAGAAAGAGACCCAAGATTTTTGAGATTAAAGACCAATATTATTCCACAACAACCAGTTTATGCATGTTCGGGTTTCTTGGGTATTTTCTCCTTTGTGCAGGCAGAACCCCCTGAACCTTGCACTTGCAGAGTAGACAGAAATTGAACAACCTGCTATGTAGATATACAGGTGGATACCTCAGAGCTGAGTCAAATGCTGTTGTGGGTCCTCAGTGCTCTGTTGCTGAGGTAAGTGCTCCACCCCACACTTCAGTAATAAATCAGAGGGTTGAAATTAATGTTTAAGGTCAAGCCTGAAAGAGTACTGAGGCAGAGTATCCATGTACAGAGAAGGGTTAAGAGACTCAGCATTCATCCCCAGGGCTCTTTGTACAGCAGCAACAGGTGAGATCATATGAACAGTTTGCTGCTGTGAGTGTCTGAAGGGCTCTGGCAGAGGAGTGTTCTCATGAGAGCTTGAAGAAGCGGGAAAATGCCATTAAGAAAAAGCTGACAGAGCCCTAAGTCACCATCCACAGGGAGACCTCTTACAGGACAGCACACTGTGAAAGTCAGGGGTCCTGAAGAGAACCCAAGGGCTAGAATGCTTTGTGGTGACCAAGGGAAGATGGGGAAGGAAGAGAGGGATTTGGATGTATGACTGGCTTTTGGGGAATCATCCCAGTGGGGTATAGCCTCCTGGAGGACCCTGTAGCTTTGTTGTTCTTTTGTCCGTTTCCAGCTCTTTTCCCTGGGGATCATTGCAACAGCGTGGAGGTTCTACAGCCAAGAGAAAACCCTTTGAAGCTCTGCCAACTCTGTGAAGAATTCCAGTGCATGAAATCTATCCTAGAGTAGAAATGCATGGTTTCTTCCAGAGATGGAGGAAGGCAGAATAAAACAAAGATCAAGATCAAACCCTTAAGAGCTCTCTAAAACTGTGAGATTCTGGCTCTTCCTTTCTTCCCTCTGGGCTATGTAAGATTGAAGACAAGGCTTTCTTACTAGCACCAGGCTGTAGTTTCTTGTCCCTCGGTAAACACTGCTGCCAGCAACCCTCCTAGGGACAGATAGCAGAAGCTCACCTTGGGGCTTCCAAATACAGCATCCAGTTTGGGACAAACTATTTCAACTCTAGGTCAGTGAGGGAGAGTTTAAAGCCTTCCGACAATCAGCTTAGTATTTTTCAGCCGTACGTCCTTGTGAAGTAACGTGATTGTGTATATGAAGTAAAAACAAAGGTTTGAGATACTTAGCATAGCCTTAGCTGTCTAGAAGACGTAGGATCTCTAGCAAGGGATCATCACAATTTTCAGGAAAATTCTTGGGTTTTTTTAATATTTGCAAGCCACTGTATGGTACTGAAGGCCGAGATGATTTCATGAATTTCCTGCTACAGCGCTGTAGTCATTTTATTTGCACTTATGTTCTATTTGACACTTTCAGTATTGACTGTATTGATGCAATGTTTGATGGAGTGCTGGGAGACACGGGACATTTTGACACATTGACATAAAGCTCTTTGTTACAGTACAGTGTCAATAGTGTGCTCACTCTTAAGGAAAATCAGGAGTAAGTAACTTCCCTACACCAATGTACAAAGCCAAGGAAATCACCTGAAGGGTGTTTACACTATCACAGCAGCCTATGATCATGCTGTGCCCTTCATTAACAAACTTCTAGCTAGCAGATACCATTCTCCTGCAAGAGCTAGCAAAGGGAGACAAATCTGACCTTTGGTGAAAACCCTGCTTGTTATGGAGGCCAGGCTGTGGCAGTGCTTGTGACAGCTGTTTTGTTTCAACTTACCCAGCATTTCTAATTCCACAACAAAATGTAATCCAAACTCTTAAACCGTGTCACTCTCTCTGTACTGCTTCTGCAGGTTACATGGGCTCACAGTAGGATCTGATGACAAAGGGATATTCAGACACCAAGCTGTGAGAGTTCTATTCTTACCCTGTGTTATCTAGTACTCTTAAAGGGATAGAAGTACTACCATGTTCACCTGTAGCCAGCCATCTGGAGACTGACTGTGACCTTCTGCATTGTGTGTGCAGCAGCAGGTACTGAAGCAGAGCTGGAGAAGTGGTTTGGACACACGACTGCTGCACTCTGCTTGTGGTGCTCCTTTTCCTTAGGAATGCTGTAGACTGAATCATAAAAGATCCTTTGGCCATGGCATGTAGCAACAACTACCCACTCATGTTTGCCTTGTCCTAATTCCACATTTCTGTGTGGCTAAATTTAGTGTCTCAGTTCAAACCAGGATTGTCCCCACGTACCGTGCTATGGTCCATAGCACTGTGCACACACAGTGGGCAAACAAGATTGCTTTTGGCTGAAGCTAACCCATATGATCCAGGTGGCTCACAGCTCCATAAAGCTGGACTAATGGTGGTCTGAAATAAGCCCTCACAAAAATGTAGAGTGAACATCAGGTCATCACTGATAACTGTCTGACTCTACAGCTCTGCTCCTCCGGGGCTGCACAACTTGCTAGCATAGAAAAACTAAATAAAACATTTCTACACAGCCCTAATGGGACCCTCCGATCTGTTCTTGGCACCTCCCTAGAGCTAGTCCAGTGTTTTAATTCTTTAGGAAGAATAAAAAATGAACTAGCAGCACATCACCATTAACGTACAAGAGGGAACTGAACAAGAATCATCCTAAATCCTCAAAGATTCTCTCAGAACTGAGCAAGGATTTTGATATGAGCTCAGAGCATTGCAGTTGGCCCAATGCTGATAGTGTTGTGCTGCCCAAAGGATACTGTCACACCCAGCAGAAAGGCAGTCCGATACTTGCTATACATTCCAATAAATAATGGCAGCAGCTCAGTTGCACTGCTGGGCTTCCAAGGGCTAACACTTCTCAGAGGCACTACTCACCTGAGGGAGGCTGTGCAGCTCTGCTTCTGGGCCTTCTACAGAGGGGCCTGGTCTGGAGGCTGTGGCAGCCAGCAGGGGTGTGCAATGCAGGAGGTGAGGCTCCTCACCCATGTCGGCACATAGTTCGGGCAGCTGTCACGCCACAGGGAACTGGAGTGAGCTCTGCGGGAAATACCTGTCCGCTGACATTGCACTGTTTATATATTTCATCATGGAACCTTGGAGAATTAAAGCAAAGCTGTGGAATATAAACCAACTGATTTGCACTTGTTGTCTTTAATTAAAGATCTCCTGAAATATAATCTGTCTGCATCTAGCCAAACACAACTGCTGTTCCACTGCCCTGGAAGTGGAGCTCTGTGTGTATCAGAAGAGAAAGGCAAGAACTGTAAAGGTACTTGATCTAAACAAAAAAAACAATCCTCTCTCTACAGGCTACAAATGCAACTGCCCATCTTCCATCTTGCTACCTCTACAAACAGATCTGAAGATACAAGACGATAAATAATCGGGATTAAGCAATTGCAAAGGTCTGAAATTCTCTGAACCTACATAGTTTACAGATACAACATTGAAATCATCAACATGCTTCCAAGCACGTCTCACATTAACCAGTATTACCACAAAATGAGGAGATATAAATGACAAAAGGCATGTTTTGTCTCCAGGTACTTTTGAGTCACTCCATTGATTCCATACCTGATCCTGGGTACTAGAACACCTTAATATCGGCAGATGGCCCCAGATGACTCAGGACTCCCTCTGCTATGCATCATACATGCAAAGGACACGTGTTTAACAAAGGGGAACATTTTTTTTTTCCCCACACAAAGTATTACTGAAGTATGGATTGCATTGCTTGGCACACTCTGGTGATCAGACAGATGAGTGGTTCCAGAAGGGGACTGTGTGAGTACAGCAGGTAAGTAAACCACAGTGGTGTAGATGCAGCCTATAGCACGGGGCTTAAACTACTCCTTGACAGAAGCTGTGGACAAGCAAATCTATGTTGTTGTTTACACTACTTCCCCCAAAGATTGCTATAGGCCTCTCTCAGAAGGAAAACTACAGACAGCTTGACTGGATGGCCATTCTGATATTCCTGTGTTCTGCTGCACCTCGCTAATGAAGGACATGGCACTGTGGTTATGCCCAAAAAGCATTCTGAGAAGCACAGTCACAGCCTTTTTGGTTGTGCCCTGCCATAGAGGAAGGGCTATTAGGCCTTCCTCAGTTCCACCCACCTGTGCCAGACAGAGACATCATAATCTCAGTGCCTGCCTTTCCCTGGTACTGCCATCTGTGCTGTGGGCTGCTGGCACAAGGACCTCTTGTTCTGTTTGCACGATCAGAGAAGCCATGTTTCGAGCTGGCTTACATCAGAAAGATACGATGCTGGCCCTGAACGCTGGGTCTTGGGCCCAGGTTCCCAATGACTACCATGTATTTTCTGTGCAGTTGCTGCACAAAGATATTCTCAGACTAAGGGAAAATCCTTACAGGATGGGAGCTTGAGAACACAACAGAAAGGTGAGGAAAAGGGATACAAGAAGCGCAGTGGATTATGTGGTGATCTGTGCACACTACACACTTCATAAAATTATAAATTCTTAGCGTCCTGGCTAGATAACCAGATCATAGCATCTTTCCTCTATTTCAGTCAAAATCACATGTTGCCTCTACCAAATAAATGTAATCTGACTCAAGAGTAGATTAGATATACAGAAGTGGGGGAAAGAGCTTCTGTGTTTTTGACATCAAAGTACCTACTCTTAGAATGCCATTGCTATTACATCTGCTCAGTGACCACGATGTATTCTCAAAGGCCTCTATCATGTCACAGCCCATATGCAGCACCTTTTCCAACCCTGTTCTCTCCAGTGTCAGGCTGCCTAAAGCAACAGATTGCACCTTATTGGGTCTGAAGACTATTTTCAATAACCAGATGTGTTACGAAGCATCAACAGTGAAAAACTCAAGTTGGTGGCCTTTTTTTTCTATATTCTGCCACCAGTATTAAAGAGATGGAAAAGAGCCAGGTGCAAATTCTGAAGAACTCAGCAGCCCCAGACAGGGTGGTACAAGAACACTTGGTCCTTCCAGGTCCCTACTGGCTCTCACAAACTTGCTCCTGTTGCATTCAGCTACCAAGAAGTTAAAGGCTTCCTTCTGCCTTTGGCAAGCAAGTGCCAGCAGAAGAGATTGTTGTCTGTCCTCAGCACAGCCAAGGGCAAGAAATTAACAAAGACTGGATTAATTCATAGGACAGCAGTAACAAATGTTCCCCATAAACAAGCATAATTAGGTATTTGCTAATTATAGGGTTTCAAAAAAAGAAAGTGCAAAGCCAATGTCCAAAGGTAAAAAAAAAAAAAAAAAAAAGATTTCCGTAACATTCCAGCTGGGCAGCAATGCCACCTACCGGCGGATATCCCACCACCGACTAACCAGGGAATAAGGCAGCAGCTTTCTAACCAGGCCTTCCTGACAAATACAAATTCCTCATTCTGGCACTGCTGTTGTCTCACACCACTGTCACCCAGAGAGCAGCTCACAAACGGAGAGCAAAATGAACACAACTCGTGTTAGCCATGGGTTTTAGTGCCTTACTGGAGACGGCACCAGTGGTCAGCGTGCTGGTATGGGAACAGTTGTCATCTTAAACATTGTGCCTCTCAGGCTGGATATTAATGTTGTGTTCTTTATGCTGGTTGAAAGGGCTCAAAACATGCCCCCTTAGACCCCTCAGTGCCATGTCCTGCTTGTCCCTTAGACAACACTAGAGGTGTCATACTCCTTGGGAATCACAATTTAGGACCAAAATCGAACAGGCAGGAAAATAACCCCTGTTGACAACAGCCAAATACATCATGATCTCTGCTCTGGACAGTAATTTTGATGATTAATTTTGTCCACAGATGGAACTAGGTGGCTGGGTGCTTGCCAATAATTTTAAGAAGCAGCTCCTTAGAAGCTCATCCCCCTATAGCAGTGGTTAAGCCGCGGCACTGTCACTGCAGAGACCCGGGTTCGATTCCCGGTCGGGGCCACTCCCCGGGCAGATGGAGCTCGTTAGCCCTGTAAGGCAATCCATCTACATCCTGAGGACCTCGCTGCCACCATCCAAGCTTGCTTGGCCCCGGCAGATGAACCTTAGGATTAGAGGGTGGGCTCAGTTCCGTGCACACTGTGTCTCACCTAAAAAAATCCAATGCGCAGGCTGGAAGGTGTAAAGACCTTCCCCGGATCTTCTTTCGCGAAGAGACTGGCCATTACAACCAAGTGGAAGACTGGAGGATTCTTAGGTGTGCCCAAGACCTCATTCCTTCAGAACCCAATACCACGTGAAGTTCAGCCATTTCATGGAGTCCCCAAATGACAGTGGAGTTCCCCACTTTTAGAGCTGAACTGGAACTTTGGAGACTAAATATGCACAGCAAAGACCATCCATGAGTTTTACACACCAAAGGACATCAGAGCTCCATCCAGTTGTCAGGGCCCATGCCCACACCAGGGCAGCTTTGGCAGGTAATCCCAGGACAAGTCACTTAGCCTCTCTGACCTCTGCTCTTCCCCTGCGTGTAGAGCTCACTCAGATTTGCTGCATAGGATGACTGGGAAGCTCATACATTCCTGCAGCATGAAACACCCAGGTACATCAAAACAGCACAACTTGCCCAAGTTTAATCATAATAAATACAGAAGAGTTACCACAACTGCAGGCCCTGCTCAGTTCTGCAGGATAATACACCTTAGTTCCATCGAGTCAGGTACTTCCATGACAAGTGGCATTTATATACATCTCCTCAACTTCATCTCTTCTACATTTTTGTGTGGGCAAAAGAGTGAATTTCAAGCAAACCAAAAGAAAATGAGTAACAAAGAATTGGACTGCCCGTGAAAACTGGCTGAATCAATTCATTGCTTGCATTAACCATTCTTTCACGTTTGGGTTTTTGCCTGTTTTCCCTGCATAAGAAAAGAAACGTACGTAACTGTGTTCCATCACCTTCCACTAACTTTGGGACTATGACCACTTGTATCAACTGTGGAATGATCCTTAGAAACACCCAATTCCTTTCTGGTTTCATGACAATTACTCAGTAGACCCAGGAGGTCTGAGTGAGCACCCTCCATCACGGGACTGATGAAAACCACACAGCTATTTTGCACTTGTACCTGCCTAACTACAGCACACAGCTGGGAGGCAGCAGCAGTGGCTAAAAGAGCAACAAGCACAAAACAAAAGGGACCAAGACTAACCAATTCTGCTGCTCGTGGCATAACTTACTGTAAATGGGATAGAACACTTAGAAAGAATGGTGCCAAAGGAAGATGGGCATGGTGGCAGCAGCTCAGCTCCTTCCCCTCCCTCCTGCCACAGTGACTTCTGTTTCTGGGATTTCTGTTATTAGAAAAATTCAGCTGAGTTCTGCATGATTCCCAGAATGGTGCCAGGACACAGAAAGTGAGTGCGATAGGGAAGACTGTCTCACACACACACACACACACAAAGTAGATTTTCATCAACTATTCATCATTTTAGGAAGAATCTCAACTTGCCCAGCAAGGTAAGCTTCTGCAGCCCCTCCTTTATCACCTGACCTCTGCCCCACACCATGATTTCTGACAGCAGCAGTCTCCCTTCATCCCTACCTCATATCTTTTCTATCGCTCTATTGTTCCAGCCTACATCTTCACCCACAGTATGCACCTTTTTGAGACCTGGTAGCAAGTCTCTCTATCAGCCCCTTGCCTATCAGGCTGACTTCACATGCTGCTTCACAGTTCCCTCACGCAAATTCCGCAACCTGATTTTCACCACATTCTTACTGCTGTAACCCTCACGTCTGGTTCAGTCTGCCTGTGGTTCAGCTGCCACAATAGTGATCTGAAGCAGTATTGAGAAGCTACGCTTTAGTGAAAAGGTCAACAAAATGAACTTCTTCCCTGAGGCAGCAAGGCATGGACAATTATTCTAGCTGTAAGGGCCTGTGCTCACTAGGGAGGATGGGAATCTGCTGGCCAGCTCCAGGCAGCAGCCTCAAAGATACTCAGTCCCAAAAAGCACATGATCTCAGTGCTTATGGGGAAAGAGGGAGAAGCAAAGAATGCAACATTACTCAAATCACTTTAGAAACCCGAGAATCTACACGGAGATGGGTAGGAAAGAAAAGGAGGTTTATAAAAGCAGCAACTGCTGGGAAGTTTCAGGCATCACCTGTAACTGCCTGGGTAGGAGAGAATAAAACTGAATCCCTGCCACAGAGCTTAAGCAGCTTGGCTCTCTAAAAGAAATGAT